CAATTTTTTATTAAATAAATTAAAATAAATAAAAATATAATGAAATTATTTAAAATAAATATACTAACTAAAAAAACATTGGTTAAATCTCCAATTTAGTCCTTGAACTATTGTACAGACCTTTAATTTGGTCTCTGAACTAAAAAAATTCCTGATTTGGTCTCTGAACTATTGTACGGACCCCCTATTTGGTCCTTACTGTTTACCAATTTGCCTCAAATTAGTCCTTCTGTAAAAAAAAAAGCTGACGTATCTAATATTTAACAGTAAAAAACAATAACTTAACGGTAAAAAACAATAATTTAATGATCACGTGTCACATTAATAACGAGACACGTCAGTTGTTTTGGTATAGAAGGACCAACTTAGGGCAAATTGGTAAACAGTAGGGATCAAATTGAGGATCCGTACAATAGTTTAGGGACTAAATTAGGGATTTTTTTAGTTCAAGAATCAAATCGGAGGTTCATACAATAGTTCAGGGACCAAATTGAAAATTTAACCAAAAACATTTTCTTGAGTTTAGTTTAAAATTTTATCAAACTCAATGAAAGAAAATGCATAATAAAGAATATTGGAATCATTGAGCAAATAGTCTTAAAATTAAAAACAATCTTGTATTTATATATGGTTGGTTTATAAGGATCTTCATGCAAACAATCACCGAAATTTAAAATTGTATAAACTCCTCATTCAGTAAAAACATCTTTAAAATGCAAAATAACCCTAAGAGTTGCTTGAATCCTCTCTTCTAAGTAAAACATATAAAAATGCTAGGAGTAAAAAATCTTCAAAATAAACTTTAAAATACCTAATGAAAAGTGATATTCAAAAGAACAAAATACTTACTTATTCATTCAAAAGAAGCATTTCAATATTATCATTTAGTTTTAGCTGTCGAAAATTCTTCTACTTACAAAGCCTAATTTTTTTTTGAAAAATATTTTTTTTCTTTTTTAAAAGATTTATTTTTTTAATATTTGGAATGTTATGAAAAATTTTTTTATAGAAGATGTTTTTTATTGTTTGGTTTTGGTAATGGAAATGGAAAATTTTTTGAAAAATAAGGAAAGAAATGATTTTATTAAGCTGTATTTGAAATGCATATCTAATAATTTAATAAGAAACAACTCTTCCCTTTTCCCATAAAATTGTCCTTGTTCAAAAAAAAAAAAATTGAAAAAGCAAAGCTGCACTGAGACCCTTACGCAAATGGAACATAAACCCAACTTATGCCAAGAACAAAAATAATCGCAATCCCTCTTAGGCAATTCATCCAACACATGTACGTATGGCAAGAGTTCCATTTCTTATTTCTTCAACACCCACAAAAATTCCAAGACTTTTCCTAGTTCCATTAAATCATTCTAACGATAACTTCCAGCAATAATTAAACATCCAAGCTCATAATGGAGACATATGCCTCACCAGTTATGAAGCTTAACATAGTTAATTAGGCTTTGATGACATGCGTGCAATTTTCTTTTTCTTTTCTTTTTCCTAATAAATTCACTTCAAACATCTGACGAAGTTCCCTACAAGTGTGTGGATCTAATTTTTTGAAAATCATTTATTGATTGCTTAGAGGGGAATTTTCAATTTGAGAATGCCCACGGCAACGTTTTTGTTGACTTCAGTGATTGATGAACTCCTTTTGCTTTCCTATGTTCGAAATTGCTTGAATAATGCATCTGCTGCCTTGGCTAAAGAATAGATAACGTGAGAAAGATCATAAGTCGGCGAAGTGTCGGGTCAAAGAAAGGGTTGAAAAGCTTCGCGTGTTTTTGTGAAAACTGACTTCCGGAATAAATAATTTGGAAGTTGTTTTCCGAGAAATATACGATATGGTTTTCAGTTGACAGAAATGATTTTCCATTGACCATATTTTCTTATGTGTACCAAACATAAGAAAATGTGAAAAATATTTTTTAAACTTATTTTTTGAAAATAAAATCGGCGTGTTAAGCCTTGAGCTCGTCGTCCGTAGAAGCGGCATGATTATCAAATTTGAGAGGCTAAACACTATGGTGGAAGGGATCGGGACCATCGGGCAGCGATTTCGGAAGTCAACTTCGGGATTTGACAATCAAAGACAATGACTGATGCCAAGCCATTGACTTTGTAGATACTAAAGTGTAAGAGATGGATATGACGATTTGGGTTTCGATTTGTTTATTAATTAAGAGGCCATGGGACATATTGACAATAGATTGGAGAAGGAGGTGGCATGAAAACAGTTGGCAGCAATGGGTTCTAGCATGGAAATGGTTCAACAGCCACAAGCTTCATCAAGAAAAAGCCCGGCAATGATGATGAAGAAATGGGATTTCATTTTTTTTTGAAAGAACAAACTAGGTTTATTTAGGTATTCTAGTTTTAAAAAAATATATTGCAAAAAAGTAGTGTCTAAAGGGTTCTTTGAAACTGTGTCCGATCTAATTCTTAAGGTATTAAATTAAAGAATAATAATAAATTTATATATAATTTATAAATATAAATAGGTGTGAATACATAATCTGAATGTGAAAAGGTTTTTGGTGTTTTAATTTGAATTAAAGAATAAATAATAATTATTATATATATGGTAGTTTATAATAATAATAATAATATAAGTTTAAACAGCTCCCTCAATTATTAATGTTGCATCTTTTTATCTTAATTGATTATTATTATACGTTTTAATTTATTAAGAAACAAAAAATGTAAAATTTTGAGAAAAATATAATGTAAGGGTATAATGGGTAATTATATTGAAAGGGTATGACATTAAATATTTAGGGTATGGCACTAACTCCACCCTTATCTTTAAATTTGATGTAGTGTGAAAAGGAGATTTGAATTGGTTTAAATCCAGTTCAGATATAGTTTAAGAGTTTATAAAATAAAGTTAAAGTTATATAATTTATGGGTAATTATATTGAAAGTGTGAACATGTGTGAACATACAGTG